CCCTCCTTAGTTCTAGTCTTCTTGTTTGACTATATACCTCTGGACTGCTAATGACAGCTATTACTGGAATCCAAGATCTCGGAGCCATCAGGGGTCCGGAAGTTGGCCAAATCAAGAACTAACTAGCTGCATTTCGAGTAAGGGTGGAGTCCCATGAGGTGTATTTATCGCGTATCGCATAACCGCGTAACCAATCAGAAGCGATCTGCTGTTATAGTTTCGCGTTTTACTGATTTTAGCTGCATTTCGAGTAAGAATCGGTACAATCGGGACGCGTGTTGAGGTTATACATTTTATTTAAACTATTATAAAATATTCAATTAAGGTCCTTACGCTATCATAAGCCGAGACAAAAATAAAAAATAAAATTTAAAAAAATGGTCCGTTATTGTTCTGCGGAAACGCGTGTAAAAATAGAAACATGAAATACAGTCCTGCAGGAATTGAGATTTAATGCTCTGCCATAATTCACTTTATAATAGAAACATGAAATACAGTCCTGCAGGAGCAAGTTCAACAAAAGAAAAAGATGTGTCATTTTATAAGTAAGTTAGATTTTGTGAGATGTGAACCTTACATCTGGAACACTATTTACTTTTTTCCATTCAAGTAATAATAATTTAAACAATTGTGCTTCCATAGGATTCTAATCTTATATATACATTCATATTCATTTTATATTTATTATTAGTATAGAGAATATTCTTTATTATTATGTATTTTTAATATATGTATACCATACATATATATATATATATTTGTATGTGTTTATATAGTTTTCCAAGCATTCCTAAACTTCGACAACAATGGATACAAGCATTAATTAATTTGAATGGACAGGAAAATGCATTAAACTTGCCGAAAACGGCATCATTAGGTGTAATTATGTGTAACAGAACACTTTGAACCAAATTGTTTTGAACAGATTGGCTTATGTGGCCTACTCGTCTGAAGCCCCATTCTGTTCCAACAATATTTCCACGTACAAAAAATAAAAGGTAAATAGAAAAATAATATATAATAAAATACAATAATAGATGTAAAATGTTTTAATATTCTCCACACTTTTTCATTTTTCAAATATGTGTAAAAAAATTTTTTTTCAATTGTCTGCATCATGATTGGTCTGTATATTGAATTTGTTTCCTTTGCAGTCAAGTGCCAGTACAGTCTTTAAATGAGACTATAATCACGCCTTTGCCTTCGCCTTTGCCTTCGCCTTCGTCTTCACCTTCAGATGAGATACTTATGACGCCTACAACTCCAAACAAAAAAATAAGATACCCAGGCGATATTGCAGATGACATATTAGAAGAAATGACTTCGAGAAGATTGAAAAAATGTGTTCGATTGCTGAAAGAAGTTTGTAGAAAGAAAGATCACATAATCAAGCGATTACATACTGAAAAAACCCGACAAAAGAAAAAGATTAAAACATTACAAGAACTTCTATCAAATTTGAACAAAAAGAATTTGCTTTCTTCAAATACTTGTAATTTGATTGAGGTATAGTTTTTCATTTTTATCTTCCCCGATAGGCATATTATGCGAATATTGTATAATAATAGCATTACGAATTAATGAAAATTTTGAATAATTGTGCTATGATACGTTAGAACAAAGCAGTTATGACGATATAAAATCTGTAAATAATATAAACTGAAAACGAAACGCGTATTTCTCGATATCTATTTCTTGTATTTTATTCAATTTTGTGTACACGATTGAGAAAAAAGTATTTTTCCGATCGATTTCTTCAAGGGCTCGTTAGTTAGCTAATAGTCAACCATCCTCAATGCACCTAAAAAGTTATAATAAAAATCAACACTAACAATTTTACAATAATTATATTAAAACGTGCAAAAAGTTTTATAACGATAAACATTAGTCTTCCTTCTGAAAAAAATTACGAAATATCATCTTTTTCTATCTCCTAATGTAGGAGATCCCTACAGAAATTTAGCAAATATATCACTAAGATGATACGCCATATTGTTATAATTTTACCGAAATACTATTTCGAAAATAATTGAACAAACATTTATCAATATTGTATAAAAGATCAATACTTCTACATGTATTTTTGTAAATGTGTACTTCTCTGTAATACAAATTACCAATATAGGTAATTCTTTAATTAATTTTTTCTTGCTATAGCGTATTTTTATTTATTTGTTTATTATAGTGTCTGCCCGAAGAAAAGTGTATTATTAATGAAATAGAGAAAGGGAAAGTTAATGGACAGTATTCTCCACAGTTACGATCTTTTGCGTTAACTTTACATTTTTGCAGTCCAAAAGCATACAATTATGTGCGAGAGGTATATAAAAATAAATTACCAGCTCCATCTACTATACGATCTTGGTATTCTAATACGAATGGATCTCCTGGTTTTACACAAGAAGCTATTAATATTTTGAAAAGAAGAAGTGATGCTGCTGGAGAAAAAAAAATATATGCTACTTTGATGATGGATGAAATGGCAATAAGGAAGCAACTTGAATGGAGTCATTGTGAAAAAAAGTTTATTGGCTATGTAGATTGTGGAGCCGTCATATCAGAACCCGACAATATGCCTTTGGCAAAAGAAGCACTGGTGTATTTGCTAACGGGCATTAATGAAAGGTGGAAAATTCCAGTCGCCTATTTTTATATACATGGACTAACATCACAAGAACGAGCTGAAATTACTTTACAACTTTTAAGATTTGTAGCTACGTCAGGAGTTGAAGTTATTGCTTTAACATTCGATGGACTTCTAGCGAACATTAAAATGTGCACTGAATTTAATGCAGACGTGTACGACAAGCCATATTTCCGACATCCAACGTGTGATCATGATATTGTGATATTTTTTGACGCTGCGCATATGCTCAAGCTCATAAGAACAACTTGGGCCAGTGAAGGAGTTTTGTATGATAATGACGGAAATCATATAAAATGGGAATTTATTGAAAACCTGGTATGTCTACAAGAACACGACTATTTTTATTTAGCTAATAAAGTAAATAGCAAACATATCCAGTGGCAAAAAAATAAAATGAGCGTCAAGTTAGCAGCCCAAACATTAAGCCAAAGCTGTGCGACTGCTTTACAAATGTTAATGGAAGAAGGACATCCGGACTTTTTAGATTGCGCTCCGACTATCAAATTTTTAAGAATGGTCAATAATGCATTTGATTGCTTAAATTCTCGAAGTCTGTTTTCTCATGGCTTTAAACGACCATTACGAGCAGACACAGCTTTTCAAACGTTTACATTTTTTACTGAAGCTATAGAATATATTTCTGGTCTAAAATTACATCCCGATGGAAAATGTATAATAGAAACAAAATCGAAGACCGGTTTTCTAGGATTTATTATCGATATGAAAAATTTGAAAAAAATATATCAAGAATATGTTGAAACAAGATGTTTAAAATATATATTAGCATATAAATTTTCTCAAGACCATCTTGAAATATTTTTTTCATGCATTCGAACAATGGGAGGATACAATAACAATCCAAATTGTATCCAATTTACTTCAGCGTACAAACGGCTTTTACATCACAATGAAGTGAAATCATCAGCTGCAGCAAACTGTCTACTGCTTGATAACACAAATATCCTAACGATATCTTCAACAATAAAAATCAAGAAGAGCCCCAAGGAACTTGATGAAGAAGATATTGAAGATATAATGGTTGACGATATCCCACTTCAATTAATAAATTCAACAGTACACCATGCTGTATTATACATCTCAGGTTTTATTGAAATGCGCATGCTTAAAAAAATCACTTGTAAGACGTGCATCCAACTCGTAAATGAGTCGAAAGAGGCTAATTCAATTTTTATTAAGACTAAAAGTCTTGGCAATTTACATTATCCGAGACAAGCTATCTATTTTATAGCGACTGTAGCGGAAAAGGTTTTTAATATTTACAGGATAGATAATAAATTACAAACTAAAAATGTATTACAGAAAATGATAGTAAATGTGATGCGAAATTTAGAATTAAATAGCATTTTTAAAAATTTTAATGAGCATGTATTGGACAACGACATATTGGAAAATCATAAGTATGATATAATTAAAACAATCATAGAATTATATTTAAAAGTAAAATTATATTACTTTGGAAAAGAATTTACGCGCAAATCCCATTTAACATATATCAGAAAAAATCTGACTAAAATAATTTTATTTAAAGGGCAATAAAAAGTATACAACGCATAATAAATCAACCTGACTAAGACTCCTTATAAATAAAAAAACAATGAAAGAACAAGGGCAGTAGGAGTCAAGCGCGGGAGACGTTGCGCAAATAATACGACTATCGTAGCGTGAAACTTCTTTATTTTACTAAAGCGCTTACATGTTTCGGCTCATTTTTGAGCCTTCTTCAGAGATAACTAATAAATTCACATACATAGAATATAACAATTATTAACTAATCAAAAGTATACATATATATTAGCTTATAATTATATATATTATTTTCTTCAGATATATTTTATTTAGATTTGTCCTACCGTGTTTCTTTTCATGTATATTTTATTGTACTGTAATATGTACTTTATTTTATTATTAAATTTGGTACCTTTTTCGAATTGATTTTAAATCTGTATTTTTCCCGCATCACATTTAATTACTCCTACAGCTTTGTATCTGGTATTATTACATAATTTAGCAAAACAAGAACGAACCATTTTTTTATTTAGCAGTACTTCTGGATCACTTCAATTTTTTATTCGGAGTTATTCGTACCGATTCTTACTTAAAATGCAGCTAGTTAGTTCTTGATTTGGCCAACTTCCGGACCTGATGGCTCTGAGATCTTGGATACACGGTCCTCTCTTTCTATCTTATGGAAAAGGTAGGAAAAGTGGGGGTAACTAGCAGTCCAGAGGTATATAGTCAAAGGT